CTCTCTCTCTCTCTCTCTCTCTCTCTCTCTCTCTCTCTCTCTCTCTCTCTCTCTCTCTTTCCGCCACCCTTTAAAAATTGCTCTTCGTGTTAACCGAGTATTCGGTATAAAGATCCACCAGTTAATCGGATAGAAGATTTGGGTCATTCGTTCCCAACTCGTGTTTAATTTGGAAGCTATGATTGGCTCATTACCTCCGTAATCAAGTACCGATGTTGTGAAAACGCGAACGTTTAAAGCTGACGCCAGATTGGATTTTTTTTTTGGCCTTAATTCTTAGTGAGGTGTAGTTCATGTCGGTTTGCTGAGGTTGATGAGACTTGGCTATCTTTACTTTATACACTCTGCTGCTAATCACAAGTTGGTTACTTTTAATAAGACTCTCTTTGGTTTTTTATGTCCGTGGTTTACTCCCCAATCATATAAGAACTCATGTCATCTATGATGCACGTAAGCTTCGACCCTTCCAGTGAGGGTCTACTTCTGTTGGAAGGAATACTCAGCCTACATTCTAGCAGAAAGACAGATGCTCCTTATAATATTATTATTACATCTAATCTCCCTACAATAAAATGGAACTCAGGGCGTCTCAGTGCGGTGGCGAAGCTCCTAACCTCTACACCACAGACGATGGACGCCACTTAGCGACCTTAGAATTACAAAGTTCAATGTGACATTTTTGGCCGTTTTGAATTATGAAGACAATAAAGGTAAGAAACCAAATGTTCTATCAACTCTAGCAAGATCGTAAGATTATTCGGGTTCGTTATCTAACTATTCAAATAATTATTGCATTCGAAAAAGCTTTAGATCTAGATGTGAAAATTAAATATTTTGAAGTCGAATTTCTAAAATTAAGGTATTGAGCAGATAGAACTTTGTAATTCTAAGGTAACGACTTAGCTAAACATGACCCATTACAACGAAGGTTGTTGTCTTGTGCTTATTTTTCAAGATAGAAAATGCAGGAGTCCCATCTTCAACCCAATTTTACTCATATACGCCAATTTTTTGAAACTCCACACACACACACACACACACACACACACACACACACACACACACACACACACACACACACACACACACACACACAAGCACATACACTTTAACTTTCACAATGTAAGTGAAGAAACATTTCATATTCCTAAGAGTATGAACGAGTCAAATGCTCGTGATTTTGAACCTGACAATGATAAAACTATTGGTTTCAACAACAATGTTTTGAAAACGAGACAG